TCGATTGTTTGTAATTCAATAACCGTGAAGTTCAATGCCAGCCTATTTTGCGACATATTAATTAGTTTATCAAGAAAGTACGGGTTTCAATTAATTTTGTCATATAATATATGATTCAATTTCGGTTCACCTATCAAACCTCCGAAACAATTCCTTTAATCAGCACCATAACAACCAAGCCATGGGGAAAACCCGGGAGCTGCCCGAATTATCTGTTAGTAACTGAGACTCAAGCCAAAGGGTATTCTGAGGCTAAGGTGCCTTATTTTTTTATTGTCTGTCATTAACTGTCTTTCGGTTTTTGGACCGATTCCGACAGCATACAACGTGTGTGTGTGTGCGCGCGCATCAGAAATGGCACTTCTCGAGGACATTATGCCCATCGTTCTCGTCTATGTCGATCTCCGCGGAGGAAGAGAAGTCGGATTTGGCCATTATCGTGGTTACTCTCGCTCTGTCAGTAACAGTCTAGTCACATACGTACACTGAACCGAGCGCACGCAACCAGCATAGAACCGTGCAGAGAAATGTTGCCTAGGATTAAGGTTCAGTTGCAGAGGCGTAATGTTTTGCCGCGGGCAAATCACTGATTGTGCAGCTCTACTCCTCATTGAAGTTCCATTTCAGAATAAGTAAAACACTGTGGCATTGTGGGAAATCCTTTCGGAATTTGTAAAACAAACTGAGTCGCATGACCACACGCTGCAACAACACGCTGATAGGCCGATTCTCCCTTCCTGATGAAGCACTTCTTGTATAACCATGTGTTTAGTAAGAATAAGAAGTAACAAAATGAGGCTGCAGAAACAGTAACCTTGCCTTTAAGTAGCGAACACCGGACATGGTTGAACGTGAATATCACAAGTACGTGAGCCGCATAAAATGCACTCACAGCGCACTTCTCCATTTAACCACATGACCAACTCCATGGTCGTATGATCTTCAACGGATGGACACTGGATGTTTTCTGCATCTGAAAAGTTTTTCCGTTCGTCGGTAACCCCGCACAAAGGTACCCATAAAACGGTTTGGCTAATCGCTTTGTGGGAAATTATCACGAATGAAAGATAGTTCCGATTTGATGGTGTTATCAGTGCAAATCTTCACCGGTCTATTTGCCAAACAGATCCATTTTGTGATGATCGACAAAGTGCATTGGGCATCTGTTTCGTCATGTTCGGAACTCGTCAGTAGTGCATACTTTTTGTGTCCCGGTCAGAACTCGAACCATTTACGTGTTCTTCCGTAAGGTAACCTACATCGGTCGTACACGGGTGGCCAACTATCTGCAGGCGTTCGGAAACACCATTCTCCTCGGACACCAACGAAACTGAAACCACTAGTGTCTGTATTTCACACCTGCTCGAATGAATTCATACAGTTAGTGTGAATGAAACATTTGGTCCTCTCCGCCGTGTTCGAGGTGACCGATCCAAATCGATTAGGAAACTCAGCTTCTCCACGGCCGAAGTGATTGAAGTCGGACTACACAACGCCTTTTGTGTACCTAAAACCAGTTTTGTGAAATCGCTTAGCTCTGAGCATCGCCGATCCACCTTCTCATGAACACAAATAACATGCGTGATACGGGCTTAGTGAAAACCTTCCGGGAGCACGATCAACTACATACGCCGTGTGTAACTGAGACAGATAACAGCAACAGATAGACTAATCATTTGTTTCTCGTTTTATAGACAATACAAAGTTGTTTAAAATATGACATCCTAATTAGTCCAGTGTAACCAAATTCAGGAAAGACATGAAGATAATTCACTGAAGATTCACATTGTAACATTTGAGAAAACACAAAATAACGAACAAGCTCATGTTCGACAACTTCCTTTTCGCGCTAACAGGTAGACCAAATTTGCATCACGTTTCATGTTTGTGAGAAGTTGATTGGTGTGTATAATGATACGATTGTGTGTGGTTCGCAAACGAAATGATATAAGGCTAATGAGGGTTAGGAAACAGTCAATGTTAATCACCAAAGGAGTCCCTTGAAAGGATCATGGAAACGGTTTCCTCCATGTGTGGGACTGAATTCACACCGGGATCATGGTGGGTGACGCATTTTGACATAGCACTTTGGGGAACGAATTGTTGGATGGAAAAGTGGAATGGCTCTTACCTGGACTGCTGCTAAATTTCGTACGCGAAGAACATTTGAGAGATAAAGAAATTCTCTTTCAACTAGTTTAATCCGATAATCTCAGGTTTCAAGCAATTATAAGGTGATGGGATAACGAAATCGTCTAGAACTCCGATTTGATTTGAGTACGTGTGTGTTAAGGATGGACTGGTGGTTGGCAGGAGTGAAATTGGTTGTCTTTAGCTCAAAATGTGTGAATTGGTCATTCGGCATTCGGGGTGCTGACGAGACTTTTATGTATGCACAGGTGTCAAGGGTTACCATAACTTTGAAATGACTGCCCGATGGAATTAATTGATTATCAGAAGTTCAGTGTTGATCAGAAGCGCTTCGGCTACTAAGCGTTCTTTGTGACTTCTGTTCCTACGCTTTGGAATATGCAGCTTTTAGAAATGACCCACAAGTCCTACGCATATTGCGTGGCCAGCGATTGTGAAATTGTGTTCCACTCAATTCCAACCTGCTACATTATTTGTGCTCAGTAATTCGTTTGTCGAGGCCTCTGGACATCTGGATGACATAGATTACAGGGACGTTTGACAATGTTTTCTAAAAACTACATCAGATGTGTCGCCTTTTGCGCGCGGGTCTTTGAGGCTAGTCGGTTTTGAGTAAATTTTGTTAGTGTTTTGAACGCAACCCTCACGTTAACACGGTTTAGTAACCGTCGTATATCATCGCACGTGTTTCATCGATCTGAAATCACACCAGTTGACAACGGATTGATTTTTGGCATAGTTGACTGTATTGGATTTATATTCCGACGTTTGAGGTTTTTTTATGAACTCCTTCCGGTATTATTTATCCTTTAAATATTTACTAATCCGGTTCATCTCTTGAGATATTAATTACTAGTTTCCGAGCACTAGTGATCATGTTCAGACCTATTGACATCTTAATTTTGGTCAATTGGTCAGAATGGTAATTGAGGTATCATCCCGCATTTGTCGTCCTTGTGTATCGTCACCGATACCTCACCCAAGCCCAGTACCAGTTGCGCCATTTGCAAACAAATGTGGTCTTGTCTTTGAGACAGCCTGCGACAAATTTGCACCGAGGTCACGATACCAAACAAGTCGAGAACTGACAAAAATGATTATTCATTGTTGAGTCCTCGTCTGTATATCGGAGATCACGATTTGTCTTGAACTCAAATGAATGAATGCAAGTTAGGCTGAATGAAAATTAGTCTACTGCTTCCAGCGTGAGTTCGTCGCCCTCAGTGTAGACAGAACAGAAAGGCAGTCAGCGAGCCAGGTCTGTGAATACATTCAAAATGGATCTTTAACAGAAACTTGGTAAATCAGAAACGAGATAAATGCTAACCGGCATAGATCAAACAAGTGAAATATGGACCTCCCAAGTGATCAGTTGACCAGTTTTTCATGCAAGTTATTATGTTTTAAATGATTGGTTCACTCGAGACAGAACCTCTTGAGTAGAACATCAATCATTAAAAAGATGTAGAATGAGCAATCTGAATTAGTAGACCAAGGTAGCACATCCCATATTTGACGCGATTTACTTTGCGAGTCACATTAGTCGAGTGCTATAGACAATAGTCCCAGCATCTGGCGATTCGTGGAGTTGAACCCCATCAGCTGTACTGTACTATTCTGGTTGATGATTAGCTACCTGAGATTGCACTGAACTAACTTCCTCGGTATCCGTTTTCCATATCTGACTTCTGAACTAAATATAAAATAGCAATTCTTCTTATAAGTGTATCAATTAATCCAACCACAGATTTGGTCACGCCCATTACCTCCATTTCACTTAAAAAATGTCCACATGCGTATTACAGAAAATGGTAAAATTTCACCTAAATACACAATAAGAAGGAATGCTTTCAGATACGGAAAAGAATAGTTTACGAGACTTTTTTTATTGGTTGTTCATAAATGTCGTATTTTCTGTGATTGAATGATGATCTGTCAGCTGGTGAATGTCAGTACCATACACGTGTATGTATTGCAACAGATGATTTGGTCAGTTGACATTCGTCATTACGGGATTAGTGCCAACTGGTGTTCTCTCTATCTAGATAACCAGACGACTGTGTTGCATCGTTTAAACACTGACAAAGGTTATTAGCCATAGACCCTCTGTTATGTTTTGGTGTAGGATGATATCTGCCTCAACTGAAATCACTTGAGCTTGTTCAATTATGTCTTGTGTATTCCTTGAGTAATGTTTTTACCATATAGAAGTTGAATAAAAAACGACCGGTTTTCTGGACACATTCCTTTTACACATACATCGAGGACCATTTACACGCTTAGAAAAACAGTACCAAATACAATAATATTTGATTGTCCATCTTTCTGACTACTTCTCAAGACTGAGTGCTGGGTAAGCTGACATTACTACATTAAAAATGTTAATCTTGAACGCGTATCTATGATCCGGAGCTCCCAGACGTGGATTTTTGGAAAACGGTAAATGTCGTCAGAATTCTGTTGATGATGCGTTGCGAATCACGACAACGACTGCAAGAATTGCTTGGGACTCGTCAGCAGTGAGTATCTTTCGTGTTCCTGTCAGAATCTGAGTCGTTAAACTGTAAACCCTTACCCCTGAGTTACACAATAGACGGGCATTACCTTGTGCGAATGGCTCAATCCGTTAGGACAGTGAATGTTTGGATCATCCCATTTGATCTTTGACACATACATCAGGCATAGTTACCTTTTGTTCTGGTAAGCTACAGCTGCGCGAAATCACACATTTGTTCATTTATGTTTTGAGCTTCCTCACGTAAACAGTAATCAATACAGTTTCTCAATTTCTCACATTCCGTGAATTCTTTTCACATTTTTCAGACTGTCGTGTTTGAGAAACTTCTGAAATGCCTCGATCACATCAACGAACCGAATCCGGGACTGATGGACTGAAAAAGAAATCGACCAAATCGCTTCGCAGTCGAGCACGAGAAAACACCTATCTGTTCCTCGAGTCTATCTCCATTCGTGGATGTAATCGGATCGTGAAAGCCCAGAGCCGATTTATCCGTCATTTGTGGATATGTTACCTGGTGTTCACCTCACTTTTCCTCTGGGTATCCGTGATGCGACTGGTCAGCGAGTATTGGAACTACTCGGTCAATATTCAAACGTATGTGAGCATGGATGCCCCGGCCGATTTTCCCGCGATCACATTTTGTAATCATCAACCGTTTTCCGAGTACGGATATGAATTATGGCGCCAGGGTCAAGTGATATCACCGACTAAATTTAATCACGTGCTACGCCAGGAAGCAGATCATCGAATTAATGCGTCACGTGATCATCCATACTTACTTCCCCCCGAAGCTGCTCAGTTAGGTTTTGTGTTTGATTCAGTGAAATTGTATTATCAAAACTTGGATTGGCCCTATCCAAAACAGCTGGGACATCAACGAAACGAGAGCATCTACATGTGTCTGTTCCGTTATCTAGGTGAGCATTTGGTTATTGGCGGTTCCGGTTGCCACGATGATATGATACGTGTATCTGTTCGATCTCATCCGCATCATTTTAATTGTCATACCGTCTCCATTGCACCTCGTAAAGCCAAACAGGTTCAAGAAGTTGGACTAATTATTTGGCTTGGACCGCAAGAGAACTACGACGCCAGTCATCGTCAGGCTTTCCTGTTGGACCTATTTGAACAGGCATACGGTCTACGTGTAGCCATTCATGAACCTGGACAGTTGGCCAATTTAGACAGTCACGGGATACAGATTGAACCTGGCCGAATGAATGAGCTGAACTTCGAAGCTGTTCGGCACATACACATGAGAACCCCGCGAAATCCGTGTATTACGAAACCGGAATCAAAATACAAAGATTTGGATGAAACATACGATTACGAGTTCGAGTTGTGTCTAAACACTCTGGTTCAGGCTAAAGTAGTGGAAAAATGTCGATGCCTGTATGCCTATCTGCCTCGCATAGCTTTTCCGAACAGCACATTGCCGTATTGTGGTCGATTCCTGGCGGAATCCGGAGAACAGTTGGATGTTCAAGGAGTCTTTGAACGAAAGCAATGTGCAACAGATATTATGAGCCAAGCAGCACATTTGAAAAAGTCCTTTGAAACAGAGGGACTATGTCTCCGGCGCTGTGAATCTGTAGATTATGTTAGCACAGTCTCTGTGACCACGTGGCGATCGACACAGTGGCAATTGTACTGGAGTCAAGAGACAGCCGCGGCGTTAGATTCAAGTGATACCGGTACACTGGCCTCGTACTTTCGTCTCGCGAATTTGTCCAGCGCATTGGGTGAGAAAAACAATGTTCAGTCGAAAGGTCCAACCGGACAATATGGGTTCAGTGATCGTTACACGTATGTCCTCGTCAAACGAAAAAGCAACGATACTATCGTGAAAGCGGAAAATCTGGTACTCACATTCAACGCATTGGTCAGCAGAATTGGCGGTCTGTGTTCGTTGTATATTGGTATGACATTTGCAGTAGTGATAGAATTGATCGAGTTTTTATATATCGCTATTTACGGGAGCAGGCTGGANGTGGTTGATACTGGCCCTGTCTCAAACGATGCAACTGCGCATAATAACAACAATAGATTAGATTCTGTTCCAGAAAACGAAGGTACCACCTCAAAAGCGTGTGCGGTTCAGGACAGCAATGATACGGATCAGTTGTCAGAGGTTCATGAACACTTTTTGGCCCAGCCGTTGACCACAGACTCCTCAGACATAAAAGATGAGCATGTGACATCACTTGATCCATTGATAATCACAAATAAGAATCAAGTTGAAGATCGAAGGAGCGCCTTGTAATCCTCTATTTATGAGGATTTACCCACAAAGAATATCCATTTGTCTCAAACCCCTTTCTCTGTCCCTGTCTGTCTGTCTGTCTGCCTGCTTGATAGACCAACAATACGCTTTCAAATGGTGCAAACACGCGGAAGACAACTGTTTTGAAATCAGTCAACGGGTATCCACGCTGTCATACCTCAAGTATGTTTCGACGATACCCACCTCTCAAACAGCATGCAAAGATGGATTTTATTCTTGACGAACGAAAAGACATATGATATATGCCATTTGAAATTTCTATTGCCCTCTTACAGTTGCTGAATACTCCAAATTCTCACAATGATACAAGCTCATCTTCGTAGACGTTGAACCCCCGTCCCTGACATTATTCGGTCCCAGTGTACAGAATTCAATTGCTCTCATGCATACGCATTTGCACTTCTGCTTAACTCAGGGATAAATCCAGCGGGTGTGTTATTAGAAAGTGGAGGAGCTGAGTATGTAACTCAAATGCCATAAAATGCCTTTGGTTGGTTCTATCAGGAGCACGAACGAATTAGAAACGAATAGGTTTATGCAGATCTATTAAACCAAGGTGTGCAGTGGGCTAGTTTGAGATCATTGACTTTTGCCATGAACGCAGTCACCCAGATGAGAGACCTTCTCAAGATTTTGCACACGATTTCACAAGTACCTGCAATATCACCGCGGCTGGTGATGATGATGGTGATGGCCACGTTTGCTAACAAATTAACAAGCCCAAGGAACAAACGACTCTCCATTACAAAAATATTGAGAACACTTTCGCCTGATGAGGATCCATGAAAACCGCAGTGAGATTGATGAAACTTGAGCAATTTGTTCGAAGCGATGAAATTAGAAAATTAAATCATGAGAAAAGCGGAGGCTGACAAAGAAAAAAAAGGCGATGATTAAAAAACCGAGTTCGATATGGGTGATATTCAAACAACCTTTCGACTCCACAGAATGTCTCCACGGGTTATTCAAATTCATAAACGAGTAATTCCTAACGTAAAATTCTAATCCGACTTGAAAAAGATTCAAAGTAAATTTAAGGTATGACATGCGTTTCAAAAAGCAACACCGTAGTACTCTTTTGAAGATCAGTTGTCAAATGCGGGAAACACTTGTGCCCCGTCCATGGATGACAGAGGTCTTGGGCTCAAAGTCTGACTGGGTCGTTGACCATACACAACAAATGATGCTAAATCAGAATAAAAGTCCTCTCGCAGTCTATCAGAATATGCAATTAACTAGGTAAAGTGAAAATCCGCTGTCGATTTGGAATAGCAAAGTTGATCAGGCGAAATCAATCAGGTCGAAGTAGTTATAAAACTGTCCGAATATGTCGTCATTACACGTTATATGACAACACAGACTAGCGACCAAGTTCATTTGCGATGATTCTTCTACAGGCTAGTACATCAAAATTTAAATCAAATTGTTTAGTAGGATGACGGAGGAGGGGAATAAATCGTGACAAGTCGGAAAATAAATAATCCACATTCCAGTTCCATGATCGGATGTTGGTCACATTTTGATCATCACAAATGCGAACTACTTCGGGTCATTAATGTAGGGTGGGAGGGTGATCATGGAGTACCGTGTGTTCTTTAGAATTGTTTTTGGGAGCATAGGATGGAATTCTGTAGGCGGATTCTAATCGCTTCCGCTGCGGCCGGAATGTGATTCCTAATGTTCTTAGATCTATGCCTCGAATTAAGTAGAGGTTCAAAACGCCTCGGCTATTACAACCAATTGCTTACATTCAACCAGATGTAAAACAATGGGGATGTTGGTAGTCTTAGTTACTCCACTATTCAACCGGGCCGAGTGGTGTTCACGGACTAGCTCAGATAAACGTCCGCTCGTGCGGTCAAGTTAGCGAGACACTAAATCAGATTCATATTCTTTCCGAAGGCGCAAAGCTTTTTGAAATGAATAAACTGATTGTTTCAATATGTCTTGAAGTGGATGGCACGTTGGGTAGCTCCATCTGGTCGACGCCTTAGTGAAACGTTCTCTGGAATATAATTAATATTTATATGAAGTGAATTAAATACTTTTAATTGACCTGTTACATACAAAATATCATTGACAAAGCAAACAATGTCATCTACATAGCGCTTGTAGAATGTGCAACAATCGATTGTTCGTTTTAGGATGTTATTATCCAGCTTCACCATGACGATATCTGCTAAATGTGGACCCATTGCTACCCCACCTATTTGGCGATAAACGTCGTCATTGAATTTAACTTTTGTTGTTAGTGAACAAGTATAACTGGTATTCCAATTTCCTAATTATTTATTTGTATGTGGTCGCATTTCTATTCAATAGTTTCAACAATAGGAAGGTTTGTGAAGAGGGAACTTTTTTCGTGTGATATCTTGCGTTGTCCGTTCAATTTTGTGTTTCCAATTCTAGTCAGCAATTCATAGTAGTTAATTTGTGATAAACGCTTTATGCTCTCACGGGTTCCAGGGTAACTATCAGCCTCTTATCCATCCAATGGTTAATGGAGTTACACACGTAATGATCAGTCGGAGAAATACTCGATTTTTACGTATCTTTTCTAATCCCTAAAGTTTTAGGATCATCTTTCCAGTTGGTCGGTATGTTTCATTTGGGGAAGCGTCTATTATGTCTCTACGATTTAGACATCGGTGAGCTAAAGAACTCTTTCTGCAGTGATTAAAGGTCCCTAGAACATAGTCGCGAAGAGATCCGGAACTGTGTTTCAAAGGACAGTTTGCCCTACAGAAGTGGTACCAACTATTATGCGCAAATTTCACCTGATATCAGTTTGTCTTTGGTTAGATTTCAAAGAATACTTCTCAATTTCTATCGCTTTGGTGTAACATAGATAAGCGACAAAGAGATTAGTGAGGGATTTGTTTGGTCATGTGTTGGAAACCCTCACCATACGTCGTCAACTGGACCCAGCGAATGAACTGACTTGCAGAAAACCAGTTTGCCGTTTCCGCACACGTTTTCAATAACAACTATTTTCAGTCTCCAATATCATGCTTGCATATTGATGACTATGGGTGACGTCCTTTTATTCCAAACTTCTACGTTATTAGTTCTCAGTGTTTGAATTTAAGTGAGCTTGAGTGATCCGATAGAAAATGCAGTAGTTCAAAAGATGCGGCTCAGATTTGGAAAATATTTGATTCAAAGCTGCAAGCAACTTCATTCTTTCTAAAAATTGACTCCCATCTCATGAGAGTGTTTATTAAGTGGAACTCACGTATTCGAAGTAGTTCTACTTCCTTTCACACAATGCACAGTAAATGAGCCAACTGATAAACATTTTCTAAGATTTGTAAATAAACTGATAAATTATTTGGCTATAAAATACTCACGCACTATCCATAATACTGAAAGAACTAAAAATACAGTCCAAGAAATATCAAAGTTGACTTTGAAAAGGAGATTTTTGATAACAGTTACTGTCAGAATGCATCTGCGGAAGTCATGTTTTTCACAGTTGAAGGTTAGTATACCTTCTCGCTTGATGTTGGCAGTAGAACCTGGTAAGACCCCATTGAATAGTATGTGGTTTCTAGAGTGTTCAAGTAAAATATCAAAATCATTCAATTCCCTCCAAGCAGTTGGGATATGATTGGAATCGAAAACGTCTCCTTATGTTAGAAACAGGAAGAGGTTAGTTGCCTCAAAAGTGGTCTTCAGTCATTAGGGTAAGGTATATATTAGAGAAACGTGGCAAACCCTGTCGACATGGTGGAATGCATGCAAAAGCAATCGCCTCCATGGCTCACAAATGAAGAGTGGCAAAAGGAATATGAACGAGAAGAAAGTACAAAACCTGGATCAATTCTGTGTCCTTTTGCTAAATAGACTTCGATTGCATTTTCTATTTCTGGCCTTTTTATGTTGTACCTGATACACCAGCAATCATCTTCAACATCGAAAAATCGTACATTTTGATGGCATTCGACTAAGAGGCAAAAATATATTATATGAGGTATGTTGCATCTGATGTAGGGCGGTACCATATTCCATCCCGTGAATAAGGCTCGGAACACCAGGCTTTGAGAGGAAGGAATTTGATTAAAGTCAGGTAGCTGCCCGAGCATGACCAAACGCTGTGTTGTGAGATACTACTACACACTTGTGATTAGTAGGTAACATAGTTGGTGATTTATTTCAACAGTCAAAAATGAACGAGATCACGGTGAGCAATTCTCTGGGTCTAAAAGAATAACTATCGATTGCTTCATTCATTAACCGGTCAGGGATTGTGATCGCATGTTTCGGGTGAGCTTTTCTGTGTTATGTATTCCAAAATACTAATGTCTCATCTGTGATCCTCGATAAACGACTGTCTTCGACCAGCACAGCCTTCTGGAATTATAACACCTGTATACCGGTCACGGAACATAATACTTTCTAAATATCGCACCACATTAGTATCACGGAGCACTTTCAGTGTATTGCAAACCTCCGTCTCATCGGATCTATAAATTTGCAATTTGCAATGACCTCCCCTTACTGTGTACTTTGGGTAAACTGTACACTCGAAGTAACCGCGAGCCACGAGGAAGGAGCTGGGTAACGGGGGACTCATCTATGTAACTGGCGTCGCTCACGAATAATTGATTGTTCATCTTTTGTTGTTCAGGTACATGTTGGTTAACCAAATTTATAGATCCAACCAGATGCAAGTATGCAGCACACAGTTTCCAACAAATACATGGTATCATTTGATATCTTTTCGTTAGTCATCAATGTGCGCTCGCATACCGGTAATGCCAGCATGCCGTATTACCCCCTCAAGAAACGTCTGCCATTTTGTACAAAAGGTATGCAGTATTGTTACAATGGTAGCTTATTTATATCGATGAGTTGACGGTCTAGCAATGTAGAGTCCGGTAGGACAAGTACTAGCCAATATATTCATAGGACAATTCAAAGAAACAAAGTTCAGCCAATGTATTTATGAGACTATGTTGTTTGCGCGTTGTAGTGAC